CTCAAGACAGCTCGGCAGGTCATGGGTAAGCACGACGAGAATGAGCTCGGCCTCATGAATGGAGATGGTAATGCCATGGCACGGTTTTCCCGCACATGGTGTGGAAATCACTTTAAGCGAAATGGAGAAACAAAAGTGGCTCGGCGGGTACATAATTCAAGTCAAGTTGTTATGATAGACGAGCTAAAATGCAACAAGATGAATTGCGGGGGCCAAGCTGAATAAGCTCGGCCGGTATCCAGGAGCAGTCGCATATATGCGGGGTTAGGATATGGTCGACGTCATGACTAGCCCGGCACGTACTTGGGAGGTCATAGGAGTTGGGCGTAACAGGAAGCTTGGCCCGTCGCAATTTTGCCATACACAAACGAACGAAGATTGCTTTCCTTAAGCTACCTGCTATCGGCAAATAAATAATCTCCAACTCAAAAACTTGGTGAACAAAGTTAAAATATTTTAAACTTGCTAGGCTATCGGCAAATGTGAACATATTTTAAACTTGCTAGGCTATCGGCAAGAGGACAAAAGTGAAACGTTTTAGTCTTGAAAGGCCGAAAACTAGCCCAGCTTTTATACTAATAAAAATGTAGAAATGCATACAAAATTGAACCAATTCATGAACCACTTGGCCTCGGTAGTACTCTACCATCATCACTGACCATAACCTGCAAGAATTAAAATGTAAGTTAATTTCACACCAATAAAACTTACATGAATTCATAAAGAGGACTTGCTGGGCTCAACAGTGACAAAGCATTGCAAGTAGAGCTACAAACGAAAAGATTCGATTCGAGCATTGTCCTTATTGAGTAAGATTGATTTATTTCTTTTACCTCCTCGTGCTAAGCTCGAGAGATTTATGACATTCGAGGTCGACTTGGCAAGAGAAGACAATCGTTCTAGCTCGGTTCGAGTCGACTGAAATCAAAATGATCAAAAGATTGTTCAAGCTCGGCTAGAGTTCGACTCATATTTCAAGTACACATATTTAAAATATTATGATATTTAAATATAATGGGACATTTTTTAGTAATTCACTACCCGTCTCAGAGTCGTTTAACCTTCCAAAATCTATGCTAAAAATTTTGTAATATTTGTATGTAAGGCCTTGAACCATGGATAGCGTGCATTCTACATCTCAAAAGAGTGTTTAAAAAATGAACATATATGTGTAAGATTTTCTGGGGCATTTTAAGCAAAACTAGTAATGGGCTTTTGCCAAAGCCTGCCTATAGATAGAGACTTTAAGAAGAGTTTGTAAGCTCCTCTAGTCTGTCACGAGACAGGGGCCCAAATGAGGCTGGGGCTCTTCCTATTAATAGATTGTTAAGGGCAATTATTTATAGTTTAACAGTAAAAAAATCAATCAAAACTCAAATTTAATTCAATTTAAATCAACTCCACTATCTCTCATATTATCAATATAATTAAATAATATCAACCAATCATTTTTACACATCACTTCAACTTTAATTCATTATTCATCAACTCACATAATTTTAACTAACTATTACTTCCAATCATTTTTCTCATACTTTACATCAAATCAAACTTTAATTATTTTATTTAAATATTATTTTAATACATCCACTAACAACTAACCATACCACTTTTTTCAAAGTTAACTATAATTAAAAAACAAACCAAATAAAAACTAGTTGAATTCATAAACAAACACACCCTAAGGCTTCTTTTTTTAAAAAAAAAAAAAAAAATGTGTTAACACTTACTACCAAAAAAAAATAAAAAAAAAATAAAATAAAAACTCTAATTTCATTTTAGTTTTATATTTATAAACTTTTTATTTTACTTACAAATATACTATTTTATAGTTTATAAATAGTTGAATTTTGGTTTATTATAATAATTAATTTTTAAATTACATTATTTTTTAAAGTTTATAATTAGTTCATGAATAGTTTATTTATTTTATTGAATATTGCATTTTTGCAAAGTTTTTAGAAATTGTAGTAAACATGTAGAATAGTATTTGATAATTTTCAACACTATTTTATATTCTTTCATTTTTCACTTATATTTTCAATTATTTTATACTTTCATGTTATATTTTAGCATAAGAATATAATATTTTATAGCATACATTTTTGTTAAAGTATTGGAAGATTAATTTTAATCAATTAAAATTAAAAAAATAATAAGTAAAATAGAGTGCGGGAAAAAATTGCATTAGTCCGCGGTCCCGCCCCCATTTTTCCTCTGAAAAAACAGAGGAAGAAAAAACGAACAAGAAAAAAAAGAGACCTTTTTGTCGCAATCTGGTAACGGAGATGGAGACTGAAAAAATCGAACAGCTCGTGAACATGGGCTTCCCGGCCAACTTAGCCGCCGAATCCCTGGCCGCCGCCGCTGGCGACCTCATCAAGGCCACCGATTGGCTCCTCAACCACGACAACGGCCGCCCTCCTCCCCCCGAAACGCCGTCGAGCTCCAGCTCCCCCCAGGCCGTCCAGCCCAAAATCAATCGATTCTTCAACATCCACCCAAAAAAGGACCACAACCCTCCTCCATTAACCCACCACCGCGCCGCCCCCGCGGAGGAGGAAGACTGCCAGTCCCCTCCGCCGCCGCCCCACCCGAATAAGCGCCCCAAATTTGCCCAAAAGGGGGACGAAAAAATCGCCCAGAAACCCCCGGCACGCGCCGCGCACGCCCCGCTTTCCGAGCGGATGCGGCCGCGCGACCTCGACGAGGTCGTCGGCCAGGACCACCTCCTCTCTCCCGGCTCCCTCCTCCGGTCCGCGATCTCCGCCGGCCGCCTCCCCTCCATCGTCCTCTGGGGCCCCCCCGGCACCGGCAAGACCTCCATCGCCAGGGCCATCGCGGCCTCCTGCGGGCCCTCCCTCCTCCACCGGTTCGTCTCTCTCTCCGCCGTCACCGCCGGCGTCAAGGACGTTCGCGACGCCGTCGACGAGGCCCGAAAAACGAAACAATCAGCCGGAAAAAGAACCGTCCTTTTTCTCGACGAGGTCCACCGATTCAACAAAGCCCAGCAAGACTCTTTCCTCCCCGTAATCGAAGACGGGTCCATCATCTTCATCGGCGCCACCACCGAAAATCCCTCCTTCCACCTCATTACCCCCCTCCTCTCCCGCTGCCGTGTCCTAACCCTAAACCCCCTGAAACCCCAACACCTCAAAACCCTAATCAACCGGGCCATCCACGACCTGTCCCGCGGCCTCCCGGTCAGCCTCAAAACCCCTGTCAAATTCGAAATTAACGCTGACTCATCCGAATTCCTCTCCTCGCAGTCCGATGGTGACGCCCGCGTGGTGCTCAACGCCCTCGAGATCGCTGCCATCTCAGCCTCTGAAAACCCCCAAAAACTGAATCCCGACTCGCCAGCTGTCATCACCCTGGACCACGTCAAGGAAGCCCTACAATGCAAGCACTTGAATTACGACAGGGCGGGCGAAGAACACTACAATCTCATAAGCGCGCTTCACAAATCGATGAGGGGCAGTGATCCCGATGCCTCGATTTACTGGCTGACGAGGATGCTCGAAGGAGGCGAACAGCCGCTGTACATAGCCCGAAGATTGGTTCGGTTCGCCAGCGAGGATGTTGGGTTGGCGGACCCGATGGCGCTGACTCAGGCGGTTTCTTGTTATCACGCGTGTCACTTTATTGGGATGCCCGAGTGTAATGTGGTGTTGGGTCAATGTGTGGCGTATTTGGCTCTGGCACCCAAGTCCATCGCGGTTTATCGGGCCATGCAGTTAGCAGGCCGGGCCGTGAGCGAGTCGGTTGGGCAGAATGAGCCCGTCCCGTTGCATTTGAGGAATGCGCC